GAGCGGAGCAAGGGCGGGCCGGGGGCTGAGGGTTGGGGTCGGCGGGGGGCCTGTGACTGCCTGAAGGGACGGGGGCCAGGAGGGCGAGGCGTCGCCTCCGGCCGCGTGGCGGGCGCCACGCGGCAACGCCAGGAGGGCGCTGCCTGGCGGGCCGCTGGCAGGAGGTGGGCAGAAGCGGGGCGGCGCGCGGTTGCTGGCGTGCACCACAGAGCACAACCAGCCGTCGTGCCCCCGCGGCCGCGCCCCAAACCCCCAGACCATCCCACTCGGTTTTCCATTGCCTCACACCCCCTAGCCCTCTGCACCAAAGCGCACTCCCCCCTATTCCGACCCGCACTCCTCGCTCTGCACACCTCGACGACCCAAACACCAGAGGCCGCAACTGCGACCACCGCCGCCTTGTGCTCACCCCCCTGCCGCAGGTGATGCGCCTGAGCAGCCAGGACGTGCCCACGGCCTACGCCTACGAGCTCGAGGCCGCCACCATCGTGCAGCCCGAGCAGGTCGTCAACGCAGTGGAGGCCATGGTGGCCAAGGTCGCAGCCAGGGTCTGATCTGGGACGCCCTCTTAGAGGCGGCCCGAGGGGCGGCGATCTTGATGGCTGCGGGCCAGGGCCGGCGGTCCTGCGAGGGGGCCGCCGTCCCGTGGGCCGCTGCAGCGCAACTGCTGCGATTCCTTTCTGGCGGGGGGGCGATGCGGGAAGCGTGCTGCTGCACCCTTGTAAGGGCGGGGCCGAGCTGCCGCTGGCGGGCGGCATATTGAGCCGGCTTCGCCTGGGGTTGACGCGCGGCAACACGAAAACGGCAGTCGCCGCGGGGGGCCAGCGCTTACGCGGAGCCGCGCCGCTTGTTCGCAGCGGGAGCGGCCTCCAACACCACCACAACGCATCGCTGTTGTGTAACGCTACCTATCATATGGATCGCTGCTGCAGGCAGAGGGGTGGCAAGCAGGCCGTTGGTCTCGCTGAGTTTTGCAGGTGTCGGTCAAATGGTGTCGCGGCACGCCTCAATGCGAAACGCGCGAATGCAATCACTCGCAGCCGCAGCATGGGCCTGGTGGCGGCCGTTGATGCAAGGAGTAGTCACGACAAGGTTCAGGGTGTGCTTGCGTGGCTGACACATCACAGCAAGCAAACAACCACCACCGCCCGCCCTGCTTCCACAGCCGTCGTGTGAACGCACGCCCCGCACGTGCTGCAAACCATGCCTTGCAACCGTAAATTGTTTCTCTCGCCTATGTACGCCCATTCAGGGCCAGTGCAGTTGTCGTGCAGGCTCCCGCACTCCGTTGTGTAGCCGTTCGTGCTACGCCACGCTTCTTGAAGGGAACTCAACCTACAAAAGTGACCAGAGAATAAAGCGCTCTATTGTATTTTACATCAAACATTCTCTCTCAGCAGAAACGACTTGGCAGGATGTCTCATGATATAGCCGCCGCGATTGTCGCCCTGGCCGTGAAGCAGGAGCGAGAAGCGCTTCAGAGCAATCTGTTTAAGCTCACGGTGAGAGGTGCAGTCGCGTCGCCAAGGTGCCTATCTTTCAAGCCCCAAAGGCCTCGGCGGTTGTGGATTTCAGGACCGGGCACCTTACTCATGACCCGACTAACGCCCTGCCAGCACAACCGACCCAAGCACCTGGCCCGCGTGCTGTGCCTTGCACCCAAACCCCCGCCGCCCATCCGTACCTTGAACTCACCCCCCAGGTGCGTGTCACCAACAGCGCGCTGTTGACGGGTGACTACGATGACATCAGCTTCCTGGAGCTCGCCTCAACCGCCCGCACCTGGCTGGCCGCCCGCGGCCCCGGCGGCGCGCCGCTGCTGTCGGCGGGCGCGGGGGCCGGGGGGCAGGGCGGCGCGCTCGCGCTGGCCGTGGGGGGCGGCGGCGCCGCGGACGCGGCGGTGCGGTGGTACCTGCGGGCCGAGCTCATGGACCTCATGCGGCGTGTAGACTCGGCTCACTCTGCCGCAGTCACCGCCTTCTCGCGCGGTGCCACGGGGCCCGACGGCCCCGGAATTGACGGGCCCGGCGCGGGTGCTGGCGGCGCGGCGTGCCCGCGCATGAGGGAGATGGCGATGGTGATGGAGCGGGTCATGGTCACGCCCCCTACCACGGCACCAAACAGCCACAAGGGTGGGGCAGGTGGAGCGGGGCAGCAGCAGCAGCAGCAGCAGCAGCAGCAGCAGCAGCAGCAGCAGCAGCAGCAGCAGCAGCAGCAGCAGCTGGTGTTGATGCGCCACCGCGTGATCCTCAGCAGCGCCAAGGCTGCACTCAGCGACGAATCCAAGCACGAGCTGGCCGCGGCACAGGGCGTCGAGTTTGTTATGGCGGCGCTGGGGCTGCTGGCCACCTGGCGGCCAGCGGCGGCCGTGGCAGGCGCCGGCACCCTCTCCTGTTGGCAATGACTTTTCCGCCCAACGCTCAAGCACTCCTTCCTGTGTTGTTCTCCTGAGCTTGAGGTGTGGCGACGTTTGCGCCGTGGCCTTGTAAGTCTGCCAGCACTGCCCTCTTCGACCCTAGTTGTGCAGTGTCACCCGGCGCGCAGGGTGTCAGCAGATGCTGCAATGCCGCCATGCTGTTTATGGGGCGGCGCGTGTGTGGTCGCTCCCCGAAGAAGGGTCACATCGCGAGCGCTTGGGGACAATGAGGTTTGTGCCTGCTTGTTGCTTTCTGTGTCGCAGCCCAGCTCGTGGGCGCAGAGCGTCAATGCGGCGCTGCCATGGCTCCTGCGGCAGCAGCAACGGCTGTCAGTCTGAAGCCACCTGGCTGCCTTCAATCTATTGTTTGACGCTCCCTTGCACTAAGCAGCCACGCATGCACACGTGTTGTTTCACACGCACACGTGTGCCCAAGCGTGACATCTCCAAGCACGCCCGACTCCTGTTGGGGGTTGCTTGCCGCCGCCGCAGCTGGCAGGCTGCCTGGGCCTCCCCCATGCAGGCACGCCAGATGGGCCCGCACGGGCCCGTGCTGCATGCACGCCACAATGTAATGCGTGCTCTGCAGAAAGCCTCTCATGGGCGCAGACCAGCCTAGGTATTTTGCCCACGCAATCCGCCGCTCGAGGCGCCGCACGGCATGCTGACTCGCGGGTGCCGTGAGCTAGGGCCTGCCACGCCGTGCTCCCGGCCAGTAGTCCAGCGCCCCCCCCCCCCGGGCCTGATTCAATCAGACGCGACCCCAACACTCAAGTTGCCTGCCCCTGCTGAAACATGATCAAGGGGCGGGCAGCAGCGCGCGCACAGGGCCTTGAGCACGGGGCTGTTTTACAACATCACCGAGCGCGCGCGGCAGCCGCAACCGAGAGCGCGCGCGCACGTGTGTGGCCGCTGCAACATGGGTCAGTTTGGGGAGGGAGAGCAAAAGATGGGGGGTAGAGAGAATGGGGGTTGCGGGATTGGTGGGGTAGGGGTGGTGAGCTTTCAGTGGGGGGACGAGGAGAGGCAGGGAGCAAGGCATATCAGCGACAAATGAAAAGAAAAGAGTTTGGAAGAGAGCGAGCCTATCTCTTTTGAACAGTGCTGGGCGGCGAGCGACGGCCGCTCGCACGACAAAGGTCACGGTTTGGTGGGCCCCGCCCTCGTGGCACCACGGGTGTGTGTAGGGGTGTGTGTGTGTGCGTGTGTTTGGGGCCCCGTCCCTTACAGACCCGCGCACAGGGTCAGCGGGCTTTCCTGTTTGGGGGGGAGGGCGGGCGAGAGTGTGGCGCGACCGAGGGCAGCTGCGCGCAGCGAGGGGCCTGGGTCTGCCCGCCAGCCGCCCCAGGGCGCCAGGCTGCATGCCGCCGCTCTGGGACTGTTGAGAGCGCGCCGGGGAGTCATGGGCTTGGCGAGGAGGTGCGAGCACTAGGGCGGCCGCAGAGGCCTGGGCAGGCGTGCGGCTGGCGTCAAAAGAGGAGGGGAGAGAGCTGCTAAACGGGGGCAAGCCCCGGGGGCCAGGGCGCGCGTGTGCTCGCACTGCCAGCACGCGCGTGAAGGGGGCCGGCGGCGCGGCCGGCGCGCGGGCCGCGGCAAGCGGAGGGGTGCGGCGGCCGGAGCTATAGCAATGGCGCCCATTCGCGTGTTTGGGTGCGCCTAAGGAAGGCAGAAAACACTAATGCGACGAGGCACAGACGAGCGCGGGGACCCAGCGCAGGCGGCGCAACGGAGCACGCCTCTAGGTGCCGCGCAGCGCAAGGGGCACTGGCGGGCCCCACAGCGGCCCGGGCGCGACACCACAGGGGAAACGCGCGCGCGGCGCAGCCCGCCGGCCGCAGCGCAGGCCGCGACGCGCCAGGCCGCCCGCAGGCGGCGGCCGCGGGCGCGGGTGGGGTGGTGGGGCGGGGGTTGGCCTGCGCGCTACTCCCCGTAGCCGCCGCCGCCGGCCTGGGTGCGCAGCATCTGCTGGTAGGCCATGCGGCGCGCCTTGTCCTGGCGCGCGGCCTGGCGGCGCTTGAGGTCCCGCAGCTCCCTGTTGTTGTTTTTGAAGGGGGGGGTAAAAGAGGGTGGATTGGGGCTGGAGGGACGGTGAGGGCGTGGGAGGAAAAAGGGCGTTGGGAGGCCAGCAGCAAGCTCGGCGCCACCTGGTTCAAAAGGAACCCCCCCCCTCTCACACGCTGCCCCTCGGCCCCCCAGATGCACACGACGCGCCCGCGTGTGCACACCCCCGGCACAGCCGCGCCCCCCACCTGCAGCGCGGCACCGGGCAGTCCGTCGTGGTGCAGCCCTTGGCGTGCAGGTTGAGCAGGCACCACATCTTCTTGCACAGCTGGCAGCCGCCGGTGACCCGCAGCTGGCACTGCACCGCGTGCTGGAACAGCTGCCGCACCTTCCTGCAGCTGTTGCTGCCGCACTGCGGGTTGTTGCAGCTGCACGCGTGCACCAGCAGCTGCAGCGTCTTCTGCAGCTGCGCGGCGCGCTCGGCGCGCTCCTGCTCCGTCAGGCGCGTGCGCGTCTCGTCGATGCGCTTGAAGTTGGTGTGCGCCTGGGGGGGCAGGGGGGGCGGATGATTCCGGGGGTTGGGGTCGAGGCAGTCGGCGGCGGCGGATGCGGCGCGCTTCGAAACTGCTGGGACGGCACCGCCCCAGCCTCTACTTGTGCCACCGTCACATATGGCCGCCGGGGTATGTGCATGTACACACCAACGCGTCAGCAGGCCCGCCCTGCAACGAGGCACTGCCTGCGCCCTCAGGGCGTGCCTCGGTATGCCACACACGCACGAGCGCATAGCAAGCGGCGTCGCAGCCTGCAGCGTCACAGACTCATGCAAACCCATCAACTCCACCCCGAGGCTCCCGCCACGAGCGGGTGCGCGTGTGCACGGCGCGCCGCCCCCTGCC